ACCACAAGCGCGGAAGGGGAGAACCTCAGCGTGGCTGCGTGGCTGCGTGGCTGCGTGGCTGCGTGGCTGCATGGCTGCGTGGCTGCAGACTTCTTTTTGTTACGTATTTTTTACTACGGTAATAATAAAAACTATTAAGTGAAAGGGGAGTAACTTTTTATACAAAGTGCCCTCACGGCATGTCTGTGCTTTTGAGGGCAGTTGTGTGTGTTGAAGATGTTGCCTCAGGGACTTCAGACAGTGCCAGTCCGCCACTCCCTGGGCCCCATGTGCAACTCTTGTGGAGGGCCCCGTGTGCAACTCTTGTCCACGGTGTGCGGAACCAGCCAGGCCAGGGCCAGCTTGGGATGCAGTGGAGTCACCCAAGACCTGCTCCGTATTTGTGTTTCCAAGACACATCAGGAAGGTCCTGCTTAGAAAGGAACCCGGGAGCCCCCGGTGTGTTTGGGCCAAGGGCAGAGCCGCCAGTGTTGCCGTCCGTGGCATGTGCGTGCACACTCAGTCGTGAACCACGTGCGCCTTCCCCAGGGCTGCTCGGACCCGGCTGGCTGCTCGGACCCGGCTGGCTCCTCCTGGCGCATGCTTCTGTGCACCCAGAGAGCATGAGGTGCGTGTTAGAGATCTTGCTCCTTCTGCACAGGGCCGCTGCCAGGCCTTTCTGAGCCAGTACACACCCTTTCTGGTGTGTACCATCGGCACTGCGGTTAGGGTTAGAGGCAGCCATCTGTGCAAGGCCACGCCGTTCTCAAATCAGCACCGTTCTCTTTCCTTTGTTTAATTCTAGTAAAGTGCCCCGTGAGCACTGCCACCAAGGGGCTGTCAGACTGGCAAGGACTGAGGAGCAGAAGTGCTTTTTCCTGCAGACCACCTCCCTTCGTGGCGTGGCAGCCACGGAACCAGGCATTTCCTCAGCCAGGCAGCCAGAGCCCCCTTCCCCAGACCCTTTTCTAGCTGAGTTCTTCCGTTTCAGGATCAGGGCCACTGAAACATCAGAAGCCACCAAC